TTAAGTCATAAAATTAGAGTACTTTTAACGCTGGAGGATACTTTTCACGTCCACATTGCAAGTATATATGTGGCTACAACATCTTGTTCACCCATTTTACCCACCTACCACTCCAGTGCGCCAATGAATCTACCAGTCAGACCCTTACTTCACATGCCAGACCTCATTTAATAACCAAGTTTCTTTGTATTTGTGTTTGAGTCTCTCTCTCTCTCTCGCCATCATACAACAACCACCCATCCCTTTGAGTAAATATTGGATATAACGGTTACACCACGTTAACATTGTAACATGGTATAATTATCCAATGATAATTCACTAATTAGACAAAATAGATCTCAATCCTTTAAATAATCACTCCTCCATGTAAGGAACAATGAACTGTTACATATTCAAACAGGACAATTCATTTGTCCACTTGTTTGTTTATTATTAGAGGGTTACACTATCGTGACGTTACACCCCATATTTACCACCAAGCTACCACCATTTCCAACCTTCTATTTGGCTTACAAAAACTTGTAATGTTGGAACACCACCCCCCCCCCCCCCCCCCTNCGTTACACCCCATATTTACCACCAAGCTACCACCATTTCCAACCTTCTATTTGGCTTACAAAAACTTGTAATGTTGGAACACCCCCCCCCCCCCCCCAACCTTCTTCTCTCCCTCTCCAAATGTATTAATATTTGATATTCCCTTCCCCCTGCTAGTTCGAAACTTCTGGCTCCATCGCTGATTGTAAGTGTTTAGAAGAAGCAATATTGGCAAGGAAGCCGGCTGATGTTTTCTACTACAATGGCTTCTACATGTTCAGGTATGTTGTTTCAGGCTTTTTTCTTTTTTTTTTTATGCCTATTTTCTTTCTACTCTATAATACTTATTGATTATGTCTCTTTTTTTTATTTTTCAATCATAAACATGTTGGAGATGGAATTTTTTGTTGTATACGAGAACTAAGGAGCTAGCTTATGCAGATGAATTTAATTGTCTGTTCTTTCTAATACACCATGATTTTATATATGTTGTGAGAGATGAAAGGAAAGAGAGAAAATATAGAGCTTTTCTTTCTACTACTACTGGAGTTTGGGCCTTTGACACTAAAAACCTCTGATTGCATACAGTCACCATGGCATACCTCGTTTATTTCTTTGAATTACTTACCATTCTCAAGAAAAAGACAGTTCAGTCTACGAACCACCTATAACTATGAGGGTTCGAGAGGATCAAGTGTATGTATCGTTGCTCCTATGAAGAGGTTGTTCCGAGACGGAATATAAACTTTATGATTATTTTCAACTTCAAAAACATCATAGGTTTGACTTCAAACTTGTCGGGGGTGAATCTGCCCTGAACTTGATGGCAATCAGCATCAATGATAAAGAGGCATGAGGCAAAAGACTTTTGGAGCTGGAAAAGCACGTGGGCTGACTATTAGATAGCAAAGTAATAATGGACCATAGGTAAATTATGTTGCCCCCCTAAGTTTGACAAAAATAATAACACAAACTCTTTTTTCTTGGTTCTACGGTCAGGAGTGGCCGGACCAATTTATGTGTACTTCAATTAATTCCCTCCGTAGTTCGGTCAAATACAGACCATCTAAGTCGAAATTAGGATATTCATGAAGAATATTTTTCATGGCTTAATCTCAAGAAATTGCTAAAATTCAAATTTAAGACTTTTGAATTTATAGTTTGTCCTTATTAACACTTGAGCTACTCTTTTAAGATTAACACAAACTTTTCATACCAGCATATAAAACCTTTTATCAGAGTTGTTATTAATGAAATAATCATTTTACTCTTGTTTGGGGGTAGATTCAGAATTCCAACTTTTCAGTAAATTTAGGAATGACTTCGGGCTAAGCGAAGGAAGGCTTGACTTTGATAGACTTAAGGCCTAATCCCAAATTTGGACATGGCCCTTCAAAGCCCAAAGCTGCACTGCAAGTCTGCAAGCCCTTGTCACAACATGTTTTAACTCGAGTGTTTTGACAGCGGAAATATTTTTTTAGATTTATTTGAGAGGAAGTGTATCAATAAGTATTTTACTCTATTAAGTTTAATTTTAATAAAACATCTTTTGATTAGGTATAAAATTGAAATGACATTTGAATTTCTTTACTAACTTCCTTAAATTATGCATAATTTTTATCCTCTTATCTCTCTCGCACCTATTTTCTATTCATCTCTCTTTCTCTCTCCCTCTCTCTGCATTACTCTCTCACTATCTCTCCCCTATTTTCTCTTCATATCTCTATCTGTTATTCTCCTTATCTTTCCCGTATTTTCTCTCTCTATCTCTCATTGATAATTTATTTTCTTTTTAAATATGTAGATTTAATTTGATTTTTTAATTCTCTCTTTATCCTATTTCTCTTTCTCTCTCTCTCTCCCCCTATTTTCTCTCACTGTTAATCTCTCTATTTCCCTCTCTCCTTATTTTCACACCCTCTCTCTCTTTATATCAACGTTACAATAACATAATTATGCTAATTAGTTACACCAATCAGTTACAATTGTCTTATAATACATCAAACAGTTATTCATGTGTTCTAATAACCAAACAATTACACCAAATAATTACATAAAATTATGATACTAACCCAATTTATCATTCAATTGTTTACATAAATCAAAGAATTGTATTATTTAGTATTACGATATGGTTACACCAACTATATAAATCAAATTTGGTATAATAGTAAAATCTTTTGTGTAATGATGAATCCAATTTGATGTATATAATTGGTATAACCATATCACGATACTAAATGGTATAACTCTTTGATTTTTATAAACAACTAAATGACAAATTGGGTTAGTGTTGTAATTTCGTATAATTGTTTAGTGTAGTTGTTTGATTTATTAGAACACATGAGTAACTGTTTGATGTATTATAGAGTAATTATAACCAATTAGTATAACTGATTGATGTAATTGTGTTGTTATAACATTGATGTAAGGAGAGAGAGAGAGAGCATAAGGAGAGAACGGTGAGAGAAAATAAGGGGAAAGAGAGATGAAAAAATTAAATTAAATCTTTACATATTTGAAACAAAATAAATTATCAATGTGATAGAGAAAAAAAGAGATACATAGAGAGAAAATAGGAAAGAGAGAGTGAGAGAGTAATGGAGTAATAAATATTCTTTTAGTTTTTTTTTTAAAAATATACTTACAGTCAAATAAGTTTTCTTAATATAGTTTAACTCAATTAAGTCTAAATTTTTGTACCAACTTCCAAATTTTTCTTTTAACATTTCCACATGGAAAGCGACTCCAAAGAGTCCCAAATTAGGTGTGACCCAAGTCTATTTGGTCTCACCTCAGTGCAAAACTAGTACATCTCAGGGCAAGAAGTAAGTCATTCCCTACTGCAGAGGCTGGAAGATGTTTGGGGACATAACAACTTAAAATGCTTTGATCCTCTTAACGGACAAATCAAAATTATAATTCAATACACGAGATTTTTGTTATTGTGATTTCGGATAGAGTCAATTATATACAATTTTTGAACTAGACTACAAGAAATTATTTTTATGACTTAAAATTATGACGTACATGTCACACGAAACAACTTTATCATTGTGATAAGACGTACCCTCTCTAGCTGACAACTCAACCTAATTGAAAGATTTTGAGAAGTTTTTAGTTGCTCATAAGTTGCAAGATTAGGTACTTAGCAACCACAGAATCATCTGTCTGGTCATTACGATGATCAGTTTTTTAAGATGATTTTAGAAACATACACTCGGCTTTGTAGTTGGTCACTTGATATTTTCTCGTTTATGTGATCATAATGCTCGAATGAAATCACTAAAAACTCTTTAAATTCACCATTTTCTCTGATAATTAGTCACTAAGGATATTTTTAGCTCTTATAAACTTTAATTTAATGTGTATTACCCAATCAAAAAATGCGACAATGGGATAATGATTGTTATCAGATGATTACATGTTATGTATTTATATTCAGAAGCAATAGATACATGAGTAGAGTGGTCATCTTTATTTTGATCAAACAATGATAGTACAGTGCACGTAACTTTCGTCACTACAGCATCTGATGAGGGTCGTGATAATATGTGCTAATGCATGTGTGAGAATAAGATACAGTAATGCTCCACTGATTAAATTTTGAGACTAAATTTAGAATTTAAATAACATGACAATTCACTTAGACTTCTTTATTTGGTGTCATGTCATTTGGACCCCAATAAAGTCTCCAGATAATATGTTGTAATGTCATTTGGACTCTAAATTTGGTCAACATAACATTATTCAATAAGATAAAGATGCATGCAGACGTGTCTTCCTTCAAGTTTCCCTACTACCAAAATTTTGAGAAAACAGAATCATTATTTTTCATAAATAATCCCATCAAGATGCAGACACCGTTCTGTATAGAAACATAGAGGTGGGTTATAAGTTTGCTGTTGCTAAAAAAAGTTCAAATGTGAGCATAGATGATCTTGTACACGAGTGTGTAAATACAAATCTGGATCAAAAAATGATCATAAACGTTGTGGGAAAGTCTACAATCAAATAAACATTCATTTACTACTTGAGATCAATTAAGAAAATTGAAAAATCAAACCAAATAGTAACAGTCCATCAAGAAAAAACAAAGATACACACAATTGTATATATACAAACCAAAGTTTCCTCACACTAGTTATGATAACAAATAGTTACACAACTAGCTAGTACCACGGTCTAAAATTTGGAGGTCACTCCAATAAAAAAGAGAGAAGTGACTGTTGAAACGGTGACTGAACCGTTAAGAGTTTCCAGAAAACGCATATACGGATTACCTAGGCCACAACATAGTCCCGTTCACGAGATAATAAATAGATAGTGTACAACATACGAATTACCACACATGATCAAGCAATCCAACCCATTTATCTCCTTGTCTTTTAATTAATCTGGCAAAAGATTATCTAACCCTTCTTGTTCATCTTCTAATGCAGCAACGGTTGATGTCGGTGCANTCTCCTTGTCTTTTAATTAATCTAACCCTTCTTGTTCATCTTCTAATGCAGCAACGGTTGATGTCGGTGCAGCTTCCCAAACAGTTCCAAGGTTGAAGGTCTGCATAGAAGATGTTACATGCTGAGACAATATCGAAGGTGAAATCACGTTAGGATGTTGCGGATCAGTAAACTCGTTTTCATTTATCAAGAAATTCAAAAATGAAGAGAACGTTTCACCATTGCAGAATTCCATATCATCTTCTTCATTGCTACTGTTTTCATGGCCACTTTCTAAATTTGTCATCAAATGATCAGAATTCTTCAAGTTCTTGTGGCTATTATCGACAAGTGGGTTTCGATCCAGATCCAGATTGTAGCCATTAACTGGTTGTGACCCAGAAAAATTTGGTCTAGGTTTTTTAGGAAAAAGTGTAAGAGTTGAGGCTTGTGTTTGGATTGCATACTGTTGTACAAACTGTTCCAGAGGAATTAGGGTTAGGGCTTGTGAGTCCTAGGATCAATTCCTTGGTTGATGGGCTTCTTGCTGAGATGAGAATTCCAGTAGTTCTTGATCTCGTTATCTGTACGTCCTGGGATTCTTCCAGCTATCAAAGCCCACCTGAGATGATCAAATTCAAACCCCAAATAAATATCAGAGAACTTTCAGATTCAGTAGCCCAAATGGACGAACTGGTTTCATTCCATTTACACCATCGAAAAAATTACATATTAATAATGATTGAATTTCAAAATTCTCATGCACAAGGTATTTTGAACTGCGTCAAACAGATCTTTTCGATCAATATTTCGAAAATAAATTTCTACTCTTTATGTTACCATGTTTTCATAGTATTTCCAAAACTTTTCTGAGTTGATAGAAACTATACAACCTATACGAAATTTTACTACTCACCTGGAGAAAGAGGAAGAGTACACAATGAAACCCTGAATTGATGGGGATAGATGTTATATAATTCGTGTTATTGGAAACTGAGATGATTTGAAAGGTTCAAAAGAAACAGTACCTGTTACCGAGCAATCGATGAAGACGAAGGATGAGATCTTCTTCATCAGGAGCAATCCGACCCCTCTTAACAGACGGCCGGAGATAATTCATCCACCGGAGCCGGCAACTCTTGCCACACCGGAGGAGACCGGCGCGTTTGGGCAGCGTCCGCCACAGTCCTTCGCCTTCCCTCCTCTTCACATAATTGGCCAAAAGTTCATCTTCTTCAGGTGTCCATGGCCCCTTCTTCATTCCCACTTTGCTGCAACATGGTGTAGGTGTACTCTTGCTATTTGACATGGTCGCCGGCGATACTGACAATGGATTCCTCATCTCTCTCTCTCTCTAGATTAGTTGCAGAGGTGAAACTCTTACGATCTCTTTTACAAATGGGCTTGTAAAAGAGAACCAATGATGTGATACTATAATGGTAATATTTGTTGTCCCACCTTAATTCATTTACAATTTAAAAGTGTAATGGTAAACTTAAATATTAAATAAATAAATAAAAATACGACATAAATCACCGTTATTCATTTTATTCGTAATTTTTTTTATCATGCGCTTATTTGATTTAACATTTTTCAATTTAAATTTTATACATCATGCCAGTCATCACATCATTTAAAATCGTTTTTTTTTGTTAGTTTAGCATTACACTCCTATTTTTTATCTCGTTTTTTTAAATAATATTATTTAAATTTAATTTGTTGAACTAATCATTGAATTAGTTACGAATCACAATAAATACTAAAATTTACTATATTATCCATCTAATGATTATAAATAATTAAATTAATAAATTATGTCAAAATATCATTATTATTTTTTTCTAACATTGCTTTTGAGATATAAAATATAGATTTAATTTATTAATATAAATAATAATGTGACAGTAACAGTGACGGTTATTGATACAGTGACAATGACAGTGTGATTAAATAGTGTACCCAACACCATTACTAATTTTCTTTTAATTTAGCAATCCTCTTTTACTATACGACGAACGAATAGCATATTATCGCGGAGATATAGGAACCGACAATTTGAATATAGGGGCCCACATTGATTGTGGCACGTTTTTTAGCATGCTCCTTTCATCTTTGGCACCTGCGTATGTTATTATGACATAATTTGAGAATATAAATTAATAAATAATAATATTATATTAATTAAATTTTAAAATTAGATTTGAAGCATAAATGACATGAACTTCTTTACTTGATGTCATGTCATTTGGATTTTAATAAAAATTTCAAATAGAAAAAATTAAAAAAAAAAGCACACCAAATTAGACTTAATTATAAAAAAATACACACAGATAAATATTGAGTAATTAAATTCTTAATTTTGATACTTATTTATATCTAAGTATATTATTTGAATTTTATTGATTTTTTTGTGTCATTTTTGTCCTCCATTGATCCATGTGTGTTATCTTTGAAAAATGGTAAATTAAATATCTCCTTTGGAAAGTTGTACATTATTTGAACTTTATATATATATATATATATATACTTGTTATCTACTAAACACTGTTATTGGCAAGGTAAAAACATTTCCATATACTATCAGTAATACCAACATGACACCATGGTTCTGGATCATTAATCGACAGTCCATGCTTGACAACTTAGGGGAATGCAACATTGCAGCTGTTCATGGTTCCACTCACAAAAACATGAGAAAGTCCTTGCTTGCTCTTGTTAGCCCCACCATGATTAGAGACCAACTTCTGCCAAAAATAGATGAATTCATGAGATCCCACCTAAGCAATTGGGACAACAAAGTCATTGACATTCAAGAAAAAAACAAAGAGGTTTGTGTGGAGTAATCAAAAACACATGGTTATATAATTTTAATAGTGTTATAATATTTCGTCAGCACATGGTTATATAATAGTGTTACCTATTTTTGTCCAGATGGCATTTCCTATCATCTCTCGAGCAAATTGTTGGTATACATTCATGGGTGAATTCTTTAAGTTTGTATTAGGAACCCTTTCACTGCCTATCAACCTTCCTAGAACAAATTATAATAGGGAGGAGCTGGGGGTGGAAGGGGAGTACAGAGAGGTGAAGGGAAAGAGTTGTGAATGCATAAGCCCCGTGAATATACAAAAAGGTCCAAATACACTTGTCCCAACCAATCTAAATCATAAACAGTAAGTACATACATCATAGCCAAGCCAAATTCACCAAGAGAGGGAGAGGGACCAAGAAATACCAAGAATCAGCTTAATAAGAGCACAAACATAACTATGAACACCACCACCACAGAACAGCTGGTTAGAACAAACCTAAAAGCAGAAAAATCAATACCGCATATAAACTACATGCATCAACCAAAAAAAATACACAGAGAAACAAAAATAACTATGAACACCCGTTGCTGTGTGAAACAAACTGCATTACAATTTACATAAATAAATGTGATCGAGAGAGAGAGAGAGAGTTCTATACCCCATAATAACTACGTTGTCAGACAAAATGGCATTATAACATGATTGACGAAATCCATAAAGCATTGTATGATTATAATTCAAAGGTGAAGCCATAATACAACACAAAAGATTTATATATACCGAGAGAGAGAGAGAGAGAGAGATAGGAGAAGGGAATGGAATAATACCTTCTTTGTGTGCAGCTCAAAATAAAAATTTGGGACTTAAGTCGTTCAACCTGAGAGTCCCTTCAAAAAATGAAGTTACCAAGCATCACTTATATGACAAAGGATTTCAAAGCTACCGTGCAATGACAAACATGCCCTGCATAAATAAATAAAAAATGGACAGCAAATTCGGCAAGAAAATGGAGACTGTTACCGGTTTTCTAATGGAATGTATGGAACCCAGAATTTCTTCAGTCTCTCTTTGCACTGATTTGACTCCTGTTCAACAGAATGAAAAATAATCTGGAAAAAATCAAAGATGGCTTCACCATCTATCAAAGATGGCTTCAGTGATGAAGCATATCCAAGTCTACTCAACATAAATTAATTCAACTGCTACACTAAGTTAATCAGTGTGTTGATCCTCATATTCCAAAAAACAAAAAACATCAAATAGAACACAACACTGTTAACATAGAACGCAGAAAAAAGTATTACCCAAATCATTCGGCAATTTTCTTTTTCTTAATTTTCTCCACAACCATTCGGATAAGGACAAAACCCAGAAAAGGTTTGAGGAAAAAAATCCCAAAAATTGACAATTATAAAGTCCAAAACTCTGAGCACAAACCAGAGATCAAAGAATACTGACAACTACACTCAAGCACATAAGCCCATTCTTGAATCAATCAGAAAATGTAGCTTCTTGGTCACTAAGAGAGAGCAAGAGAGAGAGATCTTTTGGGGAATTTTGTTGAACAGTTTATAGGCCATCGTTGATAATGCCATTTTGAGCGTGAGAGAGAGATAGGAAGAGGGCAGCTGTGCGCGGGTGTGAGAAGAGAGAAGGGGAGAAAGAGATACCTGGAGAGCCTAGGGCTGGGCGCTGTTGGGGCTGGGCGTTGATGCTCGCGAGAGAGGAGGAGGTGGGATTTAGGGGAGGGAAGAGGTGGGTGATTGAGGGCTGGGCGCTGATGCTCGCCGCCTGTCGGCATGGATTTGGGGAAGTGAGTGAAGAGACCGAGAGAGAAGAGACTGAGAAAGAGAGGACAGAGAGCCGTTGTTCTGTGTGTTGGATGTGATGGTTGGGTTGGGTTTGAATTGGGTTGAGTTAGTCTTGGGGGAAAAATATAATGGAAGTAAAATTCAACTTCCATCCTGTTTTGTTTATATAATATATATATATATATATATATATATATATATTAACAAAATACACATTAATCAAGGGATATTAAAAATAAAAAATTTTGAATTAAACGAGCATTTATGTCTTTCTATTTCAGCTGAATATTTTTTTTCAAAATATTTTATTCTATGTACTTTTGTCAAATAAGTCTAATTAAGTGTACCGACTTCTAAAGAACTCCTTCAAATAATATGTTGTCATGTTATTTAGGCTCCAAATTTTACTATATTTAATGATAAATCTAATTGCAATATTAAATATATTTTAATAATAATTTATTATTAATAACTCATTATATCCCTAAATTATGTCTCAATAATATTACTCTTTTTACCGAATAGGCTTATCGATCTCAAAATGATATCATGTTTACTATAAATAGAAGTGAGATTTGTTATAATAAATTTTTGGATTAACTGTATTAACCTCCTTTGAGCGGCAAGACTCTGGTACCCACAAAAAAATAGGGTTAATTGTAAGTTATATCCCGAAAGATAGTGATAATTTTAATTTATACCTCTAAAGATCAAAAATCAAAAATAGAAATTTATATCAATGTGAACCCCTAAAGATAAAAATCTCAATTTGCACCCTCAAAGATAAAAATTTGTATCAATGTGCACCTAAAACTAAATTGATAAATTATACATAGATCCCCTCATGTTTGTCACTTAATTATTTGGATCCCTTCACATTTAAAATATTATTCATATATCTCATGACGTTTGTGCACGTGTAACATGTAATCCCTTTTCATTGATATCTGTTAATATAACTGTTAAAAAATATGATTTTATCCTAATAAAAAATTATAATTTCATATTACCCTTTATTTTGTGGGTTCGATATACTTTAAAGTTCAAAATTAAATTTACCATTGGACAATATAATTTTTTATTATGATAAAATTATATTTTTTAACTGTTATATTAACAGATATAAATAAAATGAGGTTACGTGTTACACGTGCACAAACGTTACGAGATGTAGGAATAATATTCTAAATGTGAAGAGGTTCAAATGATTAAGTGACAAGTATGAGGGAATCTAGGTATAATTCATCAATATAGTTTTAGGTGCACATTAATACAATTTCTATTTTTTTAGGGTGTAAATTGAGATTTTTATTTTTGGGAGTACACATTGATATAAATTTTTATCTTTGAAGGTATAAATTAAAATTTTTGAACTTTGAAAATACAAATTGAGATTCCAACAATCTTTCAAACTACACTTGCAATTAACCCAAAAAAAAAAATATGGGTATCTCGCTAAAAAATGGACCCTACTTGTAAATAATAAAACAAAGTGAAATAATACAAAAAATTTATATATACTCTCATCTCTTTCATCAGATCCTCTGCTTGATCAGGATCTAAATCTAAAGTTTTGAAATCCCTTGGGCTCTAAAGAAACAATTGCAGAAAATTTGAAAAGCTAAGGCGGCCTTTGTCGAACTGTTGCTCTCCATGATAACAGACTTGCTGAAATCGAACTGATTTTGATAATAATAATGTAAGCTTTCGAGCTCCTT